AAAAAGCATGAATGTAGCACATTTCTTTACCAATAAAACCCTTTTGAGTAATGAAGTAGATTTGGTGGTAATGCATGTACAGTAAATTTCACCCTGTTCAACTACATTGTAGTGAATTATTAGTATAAGGTACTATCATGATGTACCATGAGAAAAATCTGGCCAAGATAAAATCTAACAAACCTGTGCAGGTTGTTCCCTTTTTCCCGAATCAATTCAATTTGAACCACCATGAGGTCTGGCGTAAAACTTTCTGAATTGTCCGCAAGATGCCTTACATTGTTTGCTATCTGTCGAAGATCCATTGCTAATGCTAGCTAGGCCGTGATGCATTGCTGTAGCATTCACCTAGGGGCTAGACAAGAAGAATTGATCAGGAAACTCTTCACAGATTGACCAATGACTGTGCAGTGACACAATTAAGACACGCCCCCTCATTTGCCTACACTCAGTGAAAAAGAAAAACCGTTTGAGAAAAGGAAAAGCTAAATGCATAAATCTTTCTTTAAGTAAATATACAAATAAAAAGATGTGAACATTAATGAGTGTATTACTGTAAATATAAGCATTTATACATTTCTTTTTCTAAAGTTTTATATATATGTATATTTATAAAATTATGACAGGTACATTTATTTCCTTTGTTATTTATATTTAATTATGACAGTTTTGGTCCTCCATACCAGAATGTCGAGTCAAGGAAAGGTGCCGCAAGTCTGTTCAACTGTAGGTTGGTGCTTATGTACCTGTAATCATATTCACTGCCAGCAGAGGGAGACAAAGTAAGGGTATTCTTCTAAATCTCCTGGTATATTTGTTCTTTACCATATATTTATCAAATGTATCAGTTCAAGGTTCAGTTTTTGTAAATCAATTTAAATTTTCCACCAGGTTTTATTTTTCTTCAGCTGAAAACCTAATGGAGTATAACTTTAAAAATAACCTTTCAAATGACAAAGTCTCTGATAAGATTGTAGTGTCGGTCCGTGCACATAAAGTTAACTTCAGACTGTTTAAAATCTCCTCTTCCTA